CGTATTGTAATTTCAGATTTTCCGTTTCTTCGAGTTTCATTGTGATTTCTGCTTGTTCTAGTTTGTCTACTAGTTTTGGAAAATCTAAATCGGGTTCTCGAATTGACGAAGGATGGGATGCTCTCTTTTTATTGCTATTTTCCTTAATTGTGGTGTTAAGGTCATCATTAAGATTTCTGTCATCTTTGTGTTTTTATAGTCATGTGTATTTAATGAATATGCTTTTCAAACTAGTGTTTTGATTCGTACTGCTAATTGCTTGATGGTTTCGTTTGGTAATCTGCGAATTTCATTACATAAAACTCTTTATTGTTGTTTGTTTCTTTCGGAGTCAAACATTTTTGAAAATTCTTGTGTAAACCTTTTCCAATTTGATTTTATTTCTATAGGCAATACTGAAAACCATTTTTGGGCTGCGCCATCTAGAGTTGTTTGTATCATTTGAGAAAAATTTGAAAGTTGATTTCTTGTTATTTCGTGTTGTTGAAGATAATATGGGAGTGTTATTTCATTTTGCATTTGTGCTGGTTGGTACGAGTTTGCAATCATTGGGTTTTGTTGCTGAATTGGTTGAAAAGATTGTGTATTAATTGGGTTTTGTTGTTGAATTGGTTGTTGGTTTTGTGTATCTATTGGTTGTGGAGAAAAAATTCTATTATATGTATGTGGTTTCTGTATTCCTTGTCCACGATATTCTTGATTATAGGGTGTAAATATATCTGGTTGTAAGAAATCATCATCTGAGGATAAGTAATCCATTTGATAAGATGTTTTTTTTTTATTTTTATTTTGTTGAAAAAATGGATAGTTTTCACTACGATCCTGTGGAGGATGTAAATTTGTTTGGAAATTTACTAAATTAGGTGGTGCCATTGGGTTATCCCAGTTTCGAGATCTTGTATAATTACTAAAAATTTTTCGTGGTTGATAATTTGTTTTTGATGGATGTGTGTAATTATAATTATGGTCTGCAAAGTTGTTTCTAGTGAACGTTTTGCGTGTTTTTGGCGGTATTGTCATGGGTCTGTATGTTTGGTAATCCATGTGTGAATATTTTGGGGCAACCGAAGGTTTAACGGTTGATTGTAATGTTACCTGTGTTTGTGAAGGATTTGTATTTCTTGGTGTTGTTAAGTTTGGACGTATTGGTGAAATACTTTGTTGTGTAGTTGTTGTGTGTACGATTTCTTCATTTATGAAGTGTGATGGTGTCTGGATATCTTGTTGAGTAAGATTCCTAGTTCCATTGAGGTTTTCATTGTGTATGACTGTAGAGTTTAAACTATTATTTTGCATATTGGGTAAAAATGTATTATAGTTTAATGGTGTTGCATCAATGGTTAATGGTATTACTCGTACATAATCTCTTACATAAGATATCGTACTTATTGCTTGACTTGAGATTGATTGTGGGAAGTTTATGGATGCGGGATGAGACCATTCGGGGTCCCAAACATAGTCTGATTGTTCTGTGATGGCAGTATCATCGTTTGAGTTTTGGGGTCTAAAATTTTTTCTTGCTTGTGAAATTAAATCAATATTATGTGTGAAATAATCTATTATGAACCATGCCAAGATTTTTTGTAAGTCGTGTTTTGTATGTTGTGAAACTTCATCTTTCGTGAAATTTTCTTTGTGTGATTTCATGTCGTACTCTTATATGTTTAGATGTTTCTGTCGGTGAGACATTTGGTATCTGGATTTCGTTTTCTAATATCGAGATACAACTATATATTATCGCAAAAACTTCATTGGTGAATATGGAGTTTGCTCTTTGTGAGTTATGATATTGGATGCTTTTTATATATTCTGAGAATACTTTTGAGAATTCTAAATCAAGGTCGTCTGTTTGAATTATATATTTACTGTGATTCTGGTTTGGTGAGCTGAATTCTATGGAGTAGATTCCGTATTGTTGTGTTAGGTTACATATATCTTTTAGATAGTGATCGATAATTTGTCTTTTGATTTTTACATCTGGGAACTCTGTTTTACATGGACTGATTCCGGGTTCAAACAAATTTAAGAGTAAATTTTTGCAGAATATATGCTGTCCTCTATCAGTGGTTGCATCTACGATAAAGGGGAAAATATCATCATCATCTGGACTTTCTTCACCTGGGGTGTGCGTTGAGCTCATTTTTTCGTTCGATGACTGTTAATATGTAATTATCAATGTGTCTAATTGGTTGATTCCAATTGTATAAATGTACTGGTTTGTGTTTATACTGCTTTTTTATTCTTCTTTTTCCTCTTTTTGATGAATTTGAAGTTGTTTCTGAGTCAGAGAAATATAATTGATCGTGAATTGGGCAATTTTTATCTATTGAATCTTTTAGTTTATAAAGTTCGTCTAAACTGTTGGTTTCTGATTCTGAAAATGCGTTTCGATTTTTTGAAAATCTTTTTCGTGTTATTTGTCTTTGTTTAGTTATTATTTTTCTCTTTAATGTTTGTCGTTTTGTTCTAATGTATCCAACTGTTTGTGTATGAGGTGTGATTACAAGGTCGTATTTTTTATTATATATTTCACAATTGTGTAAAACGATTGTTTGTTTATTTCCTAGGTTTTTAAATGACATAAGGTTTAGGATGACGGATGCAAAAGGTTGTTAAATGATTTCTATTTGCTTAAACTGTTAGTCCTTACGATTTTTTTGTTAGCCTAACCTGGGTCTATTTGTTCAGGGTTGGGAGGAAAAGTATATCGATTCCGAAGAATGATTTTATACTTTCTCGTGGATAGTATAAGCTAAGGTGTTAACTTACTTAATCTTACTTAAGGGTAGTGATTGTGTTCAGGGTTGGAGAATAGTAAATCGATCCACAAGGTTCAGGTATAATTAGAACGCGAGTAGTTCGTTAGATACTTTTTTAAACTTACTAAGTTTAAGATTTATCCTGGGTCTGGTAAGAGGGGGGATCAAGTGAAGGATGAATAACCGAAGTTCTTTACTGTTTATCCTAATTTGAATGATTAGTTTTGTTCAAAAATTTCTATTAGTCCTGGGTTTTTAGAAAGGGTTGGATAGTGAATCGACGTTTGAGGTCGTTAGACACTAGTTAAGTGGGTGGAGGAGAACAAAGTTGTTCTTTTTGATCCAAGGATAGGCCTTGATGATCAAGTTTTAAATTTAATTAAATAGAAAATGATTTAAGATCCAAGGATAAGCCTTGATGATCTGATTTTAAAATTAAGTGAATTTAAGTTTAAAATGTTTTAAATTTGTGTAAAGAATAGATTTAGTATTTTTATGATATTAGTGAGCTTATGAATGCTGTTATGTTTAGGCGATGAAGCTGGAACAACAGGATGATTTATAATTACTAACCGTTTATTGTCATGCTACTAATTTTTATTTTGATTTTTCAATAAATATTTTTCAAACATGTTTTGTATATTACTGCAGAATTTAGGAAAACGATCTGAGATCTTTTTATCAATCGTTATTGTATATTAATAATTTTGTTTAGCGCCTGAAATGATTTTGAAGATTGACTTCAAAATTTTATGTTTGCAAATGAAAATCTAAATTCATTGCTATTAGTATTCTAAATACAAAAGTTTGTTCTGGCTTTTGCCGAACTATCATATAACTATATGGTAAGTTTCTGCTTTGTCGTATGTCGTCTCTGGTTCGAGGTCTTCTTCCAATTCCGGGTAGTTCTGTTATCGTTCGGAATATTGGCTCTGATCTATTGAGTCGTAGAGACATTTCGATTAAATTATTGTCGTATAACATTTTGTAAATGTTTTGTCTAAATTCTAATCTATTATTGGTTAATTCTAAGCTATTAAGGTCTTGTTCGAGACTTATGGTCGCACCAGATGAGTTAGGACCGATGGGTATAACTCATAGAGTAATTTCGGATAGGGTACACCGTCTGCTCGTCACGCTATCTTATTTTCGGCCGGATAGGTTCGTGCAACTTCTTAGTCTAATACCGATCCTAATCTTACTCTTATACTGTCTAGTCTCAGGTTGTTTAACTAGTCTCTGCTAGGCTCAATAGATCTAGGGTATACTGGTTTATTGCGGCTGCTGAAGTACTCGGGAGAGTTCAACTAATTTCTAAGTTAAATTCAAATCTCTCTGGTGCTGAAATTACAAGTAATTTCAGCACTTACAAATAAGTGGATTGTTAGTTAGATGGATCATGATTGGTTAATATTAAATACTTTACATTGGTAAAATATCTAATTTATCCAATCATAAAATGTAGTTTAGATCAGGTTCCAGTTGCTAAGAAATGGCGTGTCCCCATAGATACTTGCAAATCATCATGGCTCCTGTGGTATCATGCTATGGTATCATTTGGAGATACAATTGTATTACTTGATGCTATATGGGGTGAAATATGGCTTGCGTTTTCAATGGCAAGGAAACAACATATTCGATAATGCTCTAGCCAGCTAGGAACATTTTTAAATTGTTTTTTGAAAAAATTAGTTTTTGAGTTAAAATATCGTTTCTATAGATAGCGCCATGTTTGATGCGACCTATGGCTTGTATGGTAATGATTTTTCAAATTGTTTCTACAACATTTGTAGTTGTTGGCAGCGATTTGCAAGGAAAATCTAATAGTATTAAAAACAGTATATTTAGTGCTTTCGAAAAAATTTAAGCGCGACGTTTGATTAGACATTTTCGACGATACAAACCGTATATGGATGTGTTTCGCATTATCTTCTATGGTGGGCAACCCAGGAATTGAACCAGTGCCGCGTAATTTACTTAGAGGAAGCTTAAATTAAAATGTGATTTGATAAAGGTGGGCTAGGGGGGATTTGTCGAGGAAAATTGTATTTGAAAAAAAACTCTATGAATAAATCAGTTATATGATTTTTGTTTTATTAGACTTAAGCGTTTAGATCAAGTGTTATAAGCCCCCCACTACCTCCGAAGCGGTTTAGGAGAGGTAATGCTAACTTGGTCCAAAGATTTCTCAACTTATTACATATCATCAGCTCAGCTTAGAATGCACTGAATATTCGTTACTGGATTCCTCGTAGGTCTCGTAGTAGAGAGATATTCCATAAGTCAAATTTAGAGCTTCTTCTGCTGCCGCATTTAAAGCTACCACCCGAAAAATACACTCATAAAGACTAGTTGAACTTACGAATTACAGGCATTAAAAATTTAAAACGTGCTAATTCGCATTTTTTAATCGAAACTAGTAATATGTGAATAACTTCAGCCAAGTATAACTAGCTGTAGAAAAAAAACTGGTCGGAAAACTCAATAACGTTATAAAACTGTCGCAAAAAAAAATATAAAACTAAAACAGAAGCTTCCTGCGAAGCCCAAATACATTTTCCTGTTTAAATTGTTTCAAAATTTTAGCTTTAAAAGTGTCCAAAATTTATCATTTTTTGTATAATTTAGTGATTCGCACAAGCGAATTTGTTTAATCAGTTTTTGACAAATTTTGATTCACTCTCGGCAAGGTCTTGTCTAATTTCTGCCGGTTATTAGATTAAATTACCTAATCTATTTCCAGGTTTTTTATGAAATATTCAAAAAAAGTATCCTTCTCTTATCCACTCGGATATTTCTGAACAATTCTAACGATCGTTTCCATAATATGGCCCGCAAGTTGTTAGTTTTAGTTTTTGGGAGTATACAATCATCTTGTCCGAAAAATAAGTTTGCCGGCTACAAACTTTGTTCATTAGAGCTTCAACATGGCGAAATTTTTGATTGTCTGGGTAACTTTTCCAATTCAAAAGACAAACCGTTTGTTTCGCGTGTTACACGAGATAAAAAACGCATTTTAGTTGTCTAGCTTGGAATTTTTGTTATCCTTATAAAAAAAGATCGCACGCTACGTAGATTTTATAACCCTAAAGACTTAAAAACTACGATTTTCTCACAACTTGAGATTCATTACAAGTCCAAACTTTGCTCTGAATAGGCGGATAATTTACTATATGTAGTTCTCTGGAATCCAGAGACAAGTCTTAAAAGTTGTTAAAATTTCGTCTCGATGATCGAAGAAAATGAAAGATTAAAAGAAGAACAAAGAGAGCATCCTTGTTGCGGAATCCGCTTACAATTCACAAAACACTGTTATCCTCGTAATTTTGTCGCACTGCGAAGAAAGCACACAAAAGTTGTTTAACGTCATCCTCATTCAAAAGTATTGAGCTGGCATATTATTTCAAAGAAAACAATTATTTGAATTTGTGTATCTCCTACAAACCGTTTGTACAAAAAAATATATAAAAATTGTTTCTTTCTTTGGGACTATGTTCAGATTTTGTTCGAGACTATGTTCAGACTTTTGCGACTATGTGCACACTTTTTTTTGCTTCTATTTTCATTCATTGCGTGGGACTATATTCCATGGGGAATCATTTAATTTTTTTTGATGTCCATGTTTGGACTTGGTTTTGGACTGTAGGTTATTTTCGTAACGAAAGTAACGAAATATTTGTGCTCGGGGTGGGTTTTTTTCTTCAGACAAAATTCGACTTTTTAGTTAGCCATTTTTGACGCAATTTTTAAAATATCATTCGAAAGTTGTTGTTGTCTTGAGCTTAAAATTGAAAAAAAATTCACCTGTGATCATTTTTTGTTAAGTTATGGGAGTTGAAAGATTGCCATTTTGGCCAATTTGGGACCAGTAACGCGCAATATATATCGCGCTATTAACGCGTAAGCGGAGATTTAACTCGTCTTAGAAATCATTCCAAATTGGCCCAAGGAAGCTTATATTTCATAATTGATTTGTTAGTAGGAGCAAAATCTATCACTTTGTACTTAATATGCCGTGTATATTGAGGTTTTCACAAAAAATCTCAAATTTGTAAAATGAATAATTTTTTCTTATTGTTCCGACTTTCGATACGAAAGTAACGGAATATTTGTGCTCGGGGTGGGTTTTTTTTTCTTTAGACAAATTTCGACTTTTTAACTAGCCGTTTTTGACGGAATTTTAAAATATCATTCGAAAGCTATTGTTGTCTTGAGCTTGAATTTGAAAAGGTTATTTTACCTGTGATTATTTTTCGTAAAGTTATGGGGTTTTAAAGATTGCCGTTTTGGCCAATTTGGAAATTTGATAAATTTGGCGCTATTAACACGTAAGCGAGATTTAATCTGTCTTAGAAATCGTTCCAAATTGGTTCAAGGAAGCTTATATGTCATAATTGATTTGTTAATAGGCGCAAAATCTATCACTTTGTACTTAATATGACGTGTGGGGGGATGTTTTTACATAAAATCTTAAATTTTTCAAAAAAAATTTTGTATTTTTTTTATTACATTGAAATTTTTCATGTTACTAATGTTCCATAGACCTCAAAAGGCAGTAGGAACTTTCAGGGCTTCGCCCTGATACGAGCAGTATTGTTACTTTTAATTTTTTCATGTTATTAGTGCTCTATAGACCTTAAAAGGCAGTAGGAATGTTCAAGGCTTCGCCCAGATACGAGCAGTCTAGCTAGATTTTGTTTCGGACTATCATCAGGCTTAATTGGATTTTATAGCCAGCGTCTTATGAATTATTTTAGACTTTGTTTGGGACTATGTTCAGAACTTGTTTGGGGCAATTTTTAGGCGTTGATTGCGACTTTGAGCCACGTTGAGACTGTGAATTACTGAATCCCATCTGGATTGATTGAGAATTTGAAACTAATAAATCCGCAATTAACACTCCTTGTATAATAATTTAAGAGCAAACGTATTAGCCGGCTAAAACTACCCTCAAAAAACAAGTACTCTTTCCATAATTTCTATCAAATAACTCCCCTTGGTTATAAATTTTTGGTGTCTTCAAAAGATGTAGCAAAAATTCTGCTTAAAGTTTTTTAAAATAAAGTGGCTATCATGGCAGTTCTTGCCAAAGCACCTTTAAAGATATCGAGTTTTTACTAGAGAACCTTCAAAGAACCTTGAAAACCCAAAATTTTGTAAATTTATTCAAAAGATTTTCAAAAAATTGCAAAAAAAGAAAACTTTGTTTAAAGTTTTTTTCATTATTACAGAACAAGTTCAATTACAGCTTATAAGCAATTAGGTAACAGTTCTCAAACAAATTTTTCAATTTTTAAACCATTATCACTTTTATGGCAAAAATTTTAAACAAGTGAAGTTATGACTGAAAGGGTTTTATTATAATCGCAAATTTGACCCCCTGCGAGCTTTCCCTGAGGCTGTGAAAGTCGGGGAAAAATTTAAAACTTGGCTCCACAGTTCATTCTCGCCCTTTTTAGCCCGCGATGTTCTCTCTAAAATGCATATAAATTTAACGTTTTTTCGATGGCTCCTGTATAATTTGCACTTTTTTTTGAGTATAACGTTCTCAAAGATCTCTTTTACTGTTTTTTTGGATTTTCAGAAATCAAAAGCATCCCGATAAATGACAAAATTGATAGATTAAAATGCATTATTACATCACAATATTTGAATAAAATAGTAAGAAAAAAATTCATGTAATCGGATTGAATTTTTCAACATCTGGAACCTCAAAATTATTGAAAAGTTAATGTTTTAATTTCTTACTAATTGAGCTAAGCGATTTTTACTAGCTGATTTTTATACTGGTCGATACCTTTTTTGAATTTTGTAAGAAAGTCAAGTTTTGGGCTAGACGATACACCGCCTCTTCAAACATACACATCAAATCTTTTTTGTTAAATGACTGAAACATTTGGCAAAAACTGATGCACCAGCCATTTCAACAGCACTACCTTATACTGTTTTTGGCTGGGCGACAACGCGTTTCAGGCGAAAAAATTGTGCTAATCGTCGCCTGTTACTATTTGTCGCATCAACATTTATCTTTCTGGGAAAAGTGTATTTTCGTTCGGTGCCTTCTCGTTGTCGCTTTTCCTCCTCGGATTCGATAGGTTCTGTCTCGGTTGACTTCTTCCCCATTTTGATTCCAAGAGGAATAATATGAGATCCCAACTGTCGGCAAAGCTTTATTCCTGAATCCTGAAAAATTTCTTTGAAATTGTGAGTTTCGTTGCTAATTTTTTAATTTGATTTTGGTCAATAAAACCCTATCTTCAGGGGCGGATTTAGGGGGGGGGGGCGGGGGGGCGGACGCCCCCCCCTCAGGGATTCGACCCCCTGCCGACCCAAAGGGTCCCCTCTTTGATACTTTTTCAGAAATCCATTTTTGGCCGACCGACCCTAAAATTTTTCTAAAGGCGCCTTTGGCGCCAATATATACTAACTTTGAGGGGGAGCGCGCGCCAAAAAAACGCGATTTTTTTGTCAAAATTTTTCAAAAATTGCCCAAAAACGGCTTTTTTGACTGTTTTTTCAAAAATTTGCCTGCGGCGCTGAAAATTTAGCCAAAGTAGGGCCAAAACAGTGCTTTGGGAGAGCTCGAAAAATCAATTTAGTCGACCTAAAAAAAAAAAAAAAGGTCGTCAAAATTTTGGAAAAGTTTTTGAAAATCCGCCCCCCCCCCTCGAGAAAATCCTAGATCCGCCCCTGCCTATCTTATTAGCATTATAGTTCAGATTTTCAAACAAAACGGAATATTTATGCTTGATGTGGTTTTTTATTCAGTCATTTTTCGGCGATGGAAATAGCAGTTTTTGAAGAAGAAAAAATGTACTCCATTAAAGATTTTTTTTACGTCCAAATTTTTTTCGTAAAGTTCTAGGAGTTTGAAATTACCAATTTACCCCTGCTCTGACCAAACTTATGCGCATTTTCAAAATTTTTGTTCCAATTAGTGAGGAAAACGGATTATTTATGCTTGGTGTAATTTTTTATTTGGCCAATTTTTGGCGATTGAAATCATATTTTTTAACCAAAAATTTTTATGCACCCATTAAGATATTGACTCCTTGAAATCAAAATTAAAAAAATATCTTACATTGCGAGGCCAAACTGTGCATTTTGTGCATTGTAAGCGGATTCCGAAACAGGCCAAAAACAGATTTGTCGCGGAATCCACAACATGGTTACTTTTCTTTGATCTTTTTTGCTGTTTTGGATTCCACAAGCAAATAGCTAAAACAAGGCAATGCTTAAAATCGCTCCAAAAACAGGCAATTTTGCGGAATCCGCAACAAAGTTTGTGGAATCCGCAACAAAGTTTGCGGAATCTGGAACAGTTTGTGGAATCCACAAACAAATAATACTATATGTGTTTAGTAAATTTAAGCTGTCCTGGAATCCGCAACTGTAAGTGGAATCCGCAAATTGTAAGCGGAATAAGCATAAATTTGCGGAATCCACTTACATTTGCGGAATCTACTTACATTTGCGGAATCCGCTTACAATTACGGAATCCAGAACTACTAGCTAAATTCTCCTGTTGCGAAATCCGCGACAAAACAAATGTGCCGACAAAATTTACGTTACAGGTATTTGTACGCGGAATCCACAGAAATGTTGTAGGTGGGATCCACGTGTATTATGGAACATGTTTACAAATTAGTCTCTGAAATCCAGGAACATACAGAACAATACAGACACCTATCCAGTGCACAGTTTGGCCTCGTATTGTACCTCTGATCATTCTTAGCAAAGCTTTGCGAGTTTAAAAATTGCCAATTTAGCCATGCTCTGGACTATTTTTTGCTCGTTTTGTAGACTTTATCCATAATTCTGAAAGCATAACGCGAATTATTTGTTCGTTTCTCTGTATTTTATAGTTTTTATAGTGTTTCATTTTTTCTTCTCCCAAAATTATTCGATATCAATTAAGGGGCAGTCGGAACATACATGGGTTTGCCGTGATATACGAGCAGTCTTGGATTCTTAATGCTGAAAGCGTAACACGAATTATTTATGCGCGGCGGATTATCCCGCACTACAAATTCGTTCTAAATTAAATTAGGCTAGCAACTCGAATTGGTCGTATTAATTTTGTATGACTCAAACTTTCACACTTGATCTTTGATTGTGTTCAAAATTTATAGTTTTTCAATATTTTCTTTTCCCAAAAATTATTCGATATGGATTGAGGGGCAGTCGGAACATTCAGGGCTTTGCCCTGATATACGAGCAGTCTTGTTCTGTTTAAAAAAATCGTCATTTCATATTTCACAAAAAAAAACAATTTTTGGTAAAATTAATATATTTTATCGTATTAATCTGTTGGAGCAAATATGAACGACCCCCTCAGGGAGCCGAATGACTGACAATCCAAAGTCTTCTTCCCTTTTCGTACTATTTCAAAAGCTCAATTAAAGGCTAGCTGATCTTAAAATTTTTCTAAAGATGGCGCATTTAGAAAAAGTTTAAGATCAGCTAGCCTTTTATTTATATATATTAATTTTATATATATATAATTAAAGGCGCCAATATATATTAATTTTGAGGGGAGCTCGGAAAATCAATTGGGTCGACCCTAAAAAAGTATCGACAAAATTGTCAAAAAATTTTTTGCAAATCCTCCTATTTCGACATTATTTTCTGCGCCACTGCGCTACAGGCAAAATTTTGAAAAAAAAAACAGGCCAAAAAACCCTTTGTGTGGGCAAAAGCGCCCCCTAAATCCGCTACTGCGTGGATCAATTACTTTGTCCCGTTTCAATCAGTTAACTAAATTCACCTAAATAAATGCAGTCAACTAAAAAACAGTATATTTTTCAGTATCACATCAGACGATGAATTCTAGCTTGTTGATATGAACGACAATATGTCTCTACTCCTTGTTCCCCGACATAAAAGAAGATCAAAGTTAAATGGTTTTTAGTCTGTGCAAACCTGCAATGAAATTAATTCAAGAATTAATGTCCAATACTTACTGGATTTAAGCAGAAATCACAGTGAAAACAAGCCGAGTTTTTTAATTGAAATCTAACAGATTTTTGCCTCCAAATGTTTGAAATTAATAGATTTAATGTTTAGATTTATCGAAATTATATAATAGAAGTTCACATAACAGAGCAGTAAATTGTTTATTCTCATTAGTTTAAGCCCCGGGGATTCAGCATATTTTTATTTCTCTTTTTTGAAGACTAATCACACCGCCTAATTTTGCGGACTTACGCCGACACTTTTCTTTATGCCTTAATTATTTCAGCCAAATATGGTGCAACACTGCCAAATGTATTTGTTATTAACGCTTTCTTACATTTTACCATTTTTTACTACATCGTCCTCAGCGAGGTCTTTTATTCAAATAAGGCAACCTCTTTGGAAGCAACAGGGTGATACTGATCTTAGATTGTTTTTCAATTGTTTTACACTTGGATAACTATTTCAGAGTTAATTATGATATGTTTTTTCCTCAGCATGGTTTTGTTCTTCAAACGGTCGAAATGTTTTCGCAAAAAAGACTGCTCGTATCAGGGCGACGCCCTGAATGTTCCGACTGCCTTTTAAAGTCTATGGAGTTTAATAATAACATGAAAAAATTATATGTAAAAATAAAAAATCAAATTTTTTTAAAAAAAAATTTGAGATTTTTTTGGAAAGAACATCCCCCCACACGCCATATTAAGTACAAAGTGATAGATATTGCTCCTATTAATAATTCAATTATGGCATATAAGCTTCCTTGAACCAATTTGGAACGATTTTTAAGGCGGATTAAATCTCCGCTTACGCGTTAATAGCGCGAATTATGTCGCGCGTTAATTGTCCCAAATTGGCAATCTTTAAACCCCCATAACTTTACAAAAAATGATCACAGGTAAAACATCTTTTCAAATTTAAGCTCAGGACAACAATAGCTTTCAGCTGATATAAAAAAAGCCGTCAAAAATGGCTGGTCAAAGAGTCGAAATTTGTCTGAAGAAAAAAAAACCCACCTCGATTACAAATATTACGTTACTTTCGTTTCGAAAGTCGGAACAACAAGTTAAGACTTTTGCTATTTTTTGTTTTGATGAAATTGTATTTGATTTTGAATTGTGGATTTTACCACTAAAAGTTGCGGGGACTTGAAATTTTTGGATCAAGTTAACAGCCTCCCCACAACCGGGTTGATCAAAACTTCTGATCATACAATTTCCATATATGAGAAAATTCTTGTTATACAATTCCATACGTACAGAACACTATATGAAATTTCTATTCCCCCCCCCCCCCGCCGCCGCAGGAATTTGACCCCCTGCCGACCCAAAGGGTCCTATTTTGATATTTGATATATCAATTTTTGGAGAAGGACCCTAAAATTTTTCTTAAGACGCATTCGGCGAAATTTATACTCATTTTGAGGGGGAGGCGCACGCCGAAAAACCGCAATTTTCTGGTCAAAAACGCCCTTTTCGGCCAGTTTTTTTTCAAAATTTTGCCTGCGGCGCAAAATTTTTTGTCAAAATGGGGTCTTTATAATGATTTTAGGAGAGCTCAGAAAATAAGTTTAGCATTTTCCCATATATGAAATTTGTATGACTAGAAGTTTGTCATACAAAATTTAAAATCGGCAAATGTCTACAAATCTGGTTGAAAGCTAAATAATTGGTCTCACATAAGGAGGTAGCCAACAGGAAGGTACAGAATTTTTTGTGTGCAAAGACGAAATATTTTCCTCCCATGTTAGCTACAAGTGAGCAAGCAAGAGAGACCCTGAAAACACAAAAACATACACTAAAAACCTGGAAACAAGCGAAACATCAGAAAACATTTACAATATTGATAAAATCTTAAAAGCGCTCGGAAGCGCAACCTAAATAATAAGACATTTAAATAATATTAATTATCTACTAAACCATTTAAATAACATTAATAACACGGAGGCGAAGCATCTTATTCCATGCAACGAAAGCGTAGCATTGGAAGCTGCCAAAAAAGTGAGATGGAAATAACCAAGTTAAGATCCTTCGCCCCAGCCTTCATTTTCACTCAAATTTGCTAAAGGTTTCATGTAAAAGTTCTAGTGATTGGCTGAAAATTTGAGTTCAGAACCAAGTTAATATCCTCCCCCTGAACTGCTTTTTTTGGGGGAGGGGGGAGAGGAGGATGTTAACACAGTTTAAATTTTCATTCAATTTATAATTTAACATTTGTAGCGCCCGAATTTTTTTGTGTTGAGGGTAACAACAACGTTTATAGTCTCAATTAAATTTTTGTAAGCATAAAAGAGCAATCAAATATACCGAAGTTTGAACACAAAGACAAAATGTATCTTCAAATCTCTTGCTAAGTTTTTTCTAACGTTTTTCGAATAATATGGTGGAAAAAGCAATAAGAAACGCATTCATTGAAACACAGTTTCTCTCATTTTTCTTCATCGTTCAAAATTGCAAAAAATAAACAAAACTGAAAAATAAACAGTTCGCTTGATCTCAATAAAAAGAACAATTATTTTCAGTTGAATTTATAGATAGATTTTACAGTTTTAAAATGTCACTTTACAGAGAAACCACAAAAGTTTCGGAGTCCTTTGATACATTTTCTAGGTGGTTGGAAAATTGCCTCAAGGATGGAGAGATTTTAATATAAAAATGAAAAAATTGGTCAAAAGTTTTGTTAGTCATATAGCGCATAAAAAATTTAAAAATGTAATGGTTCGTGGAAAATTAATTCATTTTCATAAAAGTAAAACACAGAGAAAGATCCTTTAAATGATAATTAGCAGATAAACAAAAACGGAAATAATGCTAAATTCAAACGCAGAAGCCAATTTACACTTCTAAAAGGTGCTGATGTAAAATCAGAATATTAAGAAAATGAACGATTTCTTGTACTTTTGAGTAGTATTCTGCTCAATGACTGGCCACCATAAGATTTGTAGAGCGATTTGTTTCAGCAATAAAAAAATCAGTGATATCACAAAACGATCAATTACACAAAATGAACACAGCATTTTTAGGATCATGCTAACTATCCCCCCCCCCCCTTATTTCAATAGGGGAGGGGGGGAATAATTAACAAGGTTTGGATGAAATTTATTGAAATAACGTCAACCAATAGGAATGCGACAGAACACATTTCAGAGAAATACAAAACCAATCCAGCTGAGCATGAATGAAATGTGTTTTTATAGGGGGGGATTCTTTTCAAGGTACCATAGGGGGGGAATAATTAACATGATCCCATTTTTATAATCGTGCCTCATATTGTCGTACACTAAATACTCGTACACTAAGTTCGGTTACATGTCAGTATTTATACAGCCGCGTATTCATACTGGTCAGTATTTAGACAAATACTGTTTCAACCAATCAGAATCGAGACAAAGAAGAAATTAATAAATAATTATTTTTTATTTTGGATTATTTATGTTTTTTCTCGATTCTGATTGGTTCATACAGTATTTGTCTAAATACTGACCAGTATGAATACGCGGCTGTCTAAATACTGGCTGCACTCCACTAAGTTCGTACACTAAGTACACATGAATTGTTTTTTTTTTCATTCACTTTAATTGTAGCTCAAAGCGAGAAAATACGTCAATCACAACACAACAATCAACCTTTTTAAGCATTATATTAGTAATTTTGCGATCTAACAGATAAACCTATTTTACCGTCAATTCTGTTTTCGAAAACGGTACCTAGGTAAATACTGTAATAGCTAATTGTGGTGGTGTCTAAATTCCTTTACTGTCAATTCCTTCATTTGAATTTTAAATGCAACGTGGACGTTATTGGGTTGATATAACAGAAATGTTTGCCATTTTTTTGGTTTTCTTCTCTTAAAATATATATTTTAAGCCCTATGAACTAGCAACTGTAAAATAAAATACATTTCTTCGCCGAAGAAGATTCAGTTATCAAAAGAAAGTTTAGCCACCACTAATCAAAAGCACAACGGTGATTTTTCATGTGTATAGTTTTTCATGTGTCCAGGATGAAATCTTCTAAGTCTGCGGTATAAATTATTGCACTTAAACTTAGGGCATAGCAATCAAAAACCAACTGTTAAACCGCAACATCCTTTTACATGAAACGGTTATCTCAAAACTTAATTCCGCAAGCTACAGGCAGTTAGCGATTACTTGCTCAGCTTTGCTTCTATGCGCCGAGAGTCTGCACGAAAGGCTTTGTTTACCGAAATTCGTAGTTGATGGTAATCTAACTCAAAAAACCTGTTCAAAGGGTGCACGTTTGAAAAAACTAAGCCAAAAAAATTTTTTAATAACAAAATTGCTTCCTATTAAAATGTAGGCTGCTTTCCTATCAATCCTATTAAAATGTACGCGGCAGACTATATGATCTCAAAATTTGTTAAAATAATATGTTACCATAAGCAAAGTATATCACTTTGTTTTGTACATTGCATGTTGCGGGATAAAAGTACGATAAAACTATCTTTAAATACTGAAACTGCTCCCATCAAGGCGCAGCACTGATTGTTCTGACTATCCTTTCGTCGATCAAAGTTTTTTTTGACTGAAAACAACTAAAATGTTTATTTAGCTAAAAAATGGTTGATAGATGAAAAAGCACAGTCAAAACAATCAGTGCTGCGCCTTGATGGGAGAAGTTTCAGTATTTAAAGATAGTTTTATCGTACTTTTAAACCGCTAGATGCAATGTAATAAACAAAGTGATATACTTTGCTTATGGTAACATTTTATTCTTAACAAATTTTAAGATCAGATAGTCTGCTGCCTACATTTTAAGGGGAACAGGCGCAGATCTAGGAATTTCTCAAGGAGAGGGCGGATTTTCAAAAAAAATTTGAATTTTTTCCCGACCATTGTTTTCAAGTCGACCAATTGATTTTCTGAGCTCTCCCAAATCACTATAAAGACCCTAGATTGACCAAATTTTCTGCGCCGCAGGCAAAGTTTTCAAAACGCAGGCAAAAAAGGCGTTTATATGCACTTTTTGGAAAATTTCGACCAAAAAATCGCGTTTTTTCGGCACGCGCTCCCCATCAAAATTAGTACATATTGGCGCCAAAGTCGCCTTCAGAAAAATTTAAAGGTCAGTCATCTAAAATTGGATATCTCAAAATTGTACAAAAGGGGGACCCTTTGGGTCGGCAGGGGGTCGAATCCCTGAGGTTAAGGGGGGCCTCCGCACCCTCCACCTAAATGCGCTAATGAATAGGAATTGTTTATTGCACGTTTATGTTCCCATTTTGAATTTTAGTCGTCAAAGTAACACCAAGTTCAAACTACTATAACCTTTCGAAAAAAAAACACAAATTTACAGGTGAATTCTATTTTTTCAAATCTTGGCAACCTGGCTACTAATATTTTCGGATTGTATAATAAAATCCTATAAAATAAGCTGGTTAAAAAACAAAATCAAAGAGCATTTTCTTCATTTTTTTTGTCACTTTCTTCAAAAGTCGGAACAAAACACTGGTATTTCATTATTTTTAATATGACCTTGAAAATGTTTTGATAGTATGGGGCGGTGAAGTTCCCTACTTCAAATTTTTGTCGTCAGTTTGCAGATTTTTCCGATCTCTTGTCAAATCTTAACAAATTCCAGTTTTAGAAAACTTTACAAAATTTCATTTCTTATGGAAACCAATTTCCACACGTACAAAGCAATTGTATTAAAGTTAACTATATTTTTTGAAAATCTTCACCTTAGCATATTCTAAAAATCTTAAAAACCTTTCACATACTAAGCAACCTTGCTCATTTTTTAATTTGTGGAGAAACATTTTGACATTATCTTTAAAATTTTGAAATATAAATTTTGTGCATTTGTAGCAAGGCGATGTGTGAGCACAGCACGGTTAGTAAATGACCAACTACTCAAAAAAATTTTCAACGACCCAAAAATTTCAATAGTGAAGTCTGAAATAATACTTTAGGAAAATTCGGCCTAAAATATGAGTATCGTGACTGCCTGTTTCCAATTTTTGGAACCCGAACATTGATATTAAAGCAGCGCGTAACCCAACTGCCACTATTTTCGTTTTTACATAATTTGATTTTAGATTTACAGAAAACATAAAGAAGTTCAAGCGTAGCTAACGTACAAACGTTTTGGTCAAATGATTTAATGTCAATTACCAAAAAAAAAGATTTTTTTTAATTCGCTCTTCTTGGCTCTTCCTAACTCGTTTACGAAGTAAAATCGTCGTTCAATTCATTCATATTTGCTCCATATAAGTCGATTACGAGAAACAAAGCTTTTTTCAATTCATCCCTTTTCATCAGTCATTTACAGAGTGAAAACTTTCAACCCGTCCCGTCCTCTTTGCTCTACATAACACGATTACAGAACAAAATTTTTCTACAGTTCATCCAAACTTGCTCTAAATCAGACAAATACGAAGACGAATTTTTTTATTCATTCATTTTTCTCTACATAATTCGCTTACGGAGTACAACTTAAAAGTGTCCATTTTGCAGTCGATTATGGCAACAAAACCGAATAAAAAAGCAATAAAGCCGAATAAAATTTCGAATTGAAGGCACTTAGCATAGTGGTAAGGCGTTGACTTTCAGAACGTCAGATCAAGTGTTCGATCTACTTCAATGACAATGATGGTGAGCGAACATGAGCTCTCAATTGACCTCCAGCTTCCGGTCTGCTTCAGTTTGACTAATTTCGGCTGCAATAGTGGTACCACGTAAAAATTTTAGACGTAAAAAAGACCTTGAGTCGCAAAAAAGGAGCTTCACTCAGCAAAATAACTGCCTGGAATGTGGGAAAATAAGACAAACACACTATGCTTAGACAGGCTGCACAGCCTTACATAGATCCTCAGCGAAATGCAGAAACCCCAATATTAGGTCGAACGGCAAAGAAAGCAAAAATGTTTGATTTCAAATAGCCCATTAAGCTAAGATCATAGCAAAAAAGCAAATAATAAAAACTTTAAAATTGTTTGAAACTCAATAGCATGCTAAATATGAACCAATCTTAGATCGGATTTGAAGCAGTTGCATAATATTATAAAAATCAAGGCTGGCTAATCGTACAAATTTACAAAATTAAACACCAATTATGTTAGTCAACGTATTTTGATTTAAAAAGGGTCAAAGTTGCTATTTTTCAGTACGCAGGCTTTGCATTAGTGATAATAAATCAATAAATGAAACATTGCCAACAAAAAGTTGGAAGTGCTAATGAATCTGCTTAATTATTAACCCTTTCAATCCGAATGCAGCAAGATTCGAATAATAAATAGAACGCTCTAGTGCTAATTTACTATCTTTACCTTTTAGGGGAGGCAACTTTTTAGTAAAAACCACAGGGGGAGAAGGCGATTGTTAAATTGTGCTGAAAAAAAAACAAATATTTGTTCAATCTCTCAATTTTTTAGAGCAAACTAAACTATAAAGCTCATTAAAGTTTTGCAAAGAATTGTTGAAATCATTTGAAAAGCAAACTTTCACCCCATTTATGTATGGGCGAGAGTATCTTGAGTTCCCATAGTTTATTAAAACCGCGGAAAAACTTAACTGTCAAAACATAATTGGCGCTTTTAATATAATTATTTTTCACCAACATTCAAAGCTTTTTAAAATGAAATAACGAACTAAACAAAAAAGGTATTGATTTCGTTCATTAGCACTTAATCAAAAACTTTGATTTATTCGGAGAAAATTGCCGGCACATATTTTCATACTTCAAATATTAATTTGTTTTAATCAGATTTTTTTAACGAGCACGCCAGGACTGCTGCAATTCAAAAGTTTTCAGACATTTTGCTCTTCAGGCGTGACAACTTTCTGCTGTTTTCCCTCCATAAATGGTCTTTTCTCTGGCCATCTTTGTGATCGTGTAGTAAGTGTAAGTCGTGACTTGTTTCGCTTTGTCGGCCGAACTGGTGCAGTGCTACCGGGACTCAATGGCGGCCCTGCGGTGGGGGGACCCCGACCGAAGTAAGCTAGAGAGGCTGCCGCCGACTAGAGGTTTCGAACTGCCAACTAACAAGTCCGTGCGACATCTCTGGTTGGAGTCGTCTAGTTCGCTCGCCGCAGATTCCCGCGCGAAGAGGAAAGATGTTCACGGTTAGTCCGTTGCAACTGAAATAATTCATTCAAGCATAGAAAAACATCAGGGACGGTTTTAGAATTTTCGTGAGGGGGGTGGAGCTTTCTCAATTTAAATTCAAAATTACATTTCATTTATGCCCAACTTGTCCACCGAATATGTACCCTGATTAACATGCAATAAAAGCAGAGAAAACTACAGAGCTGATTTAAATTATCCGGACGAACGAACAAAACTTGAATTTTCAAACGCGTTTTTCTCAAATTGGGTTAAGAGTAGACAAAAAAATGAAGAGGACAAAAGTTGCTTAGAATTTCACCAGAATTAATATGGTGCCATTTTTTCTCCGAAATTCTCAACAAAAAATTTTACCCCCAAAAATGAGTCATTTTGCTTTTTTCAATTAATCAAGAATTACGCTGAAACTACTTTATTAATTGATATGAAAATTATATCACAGGAAACCTCTTACGCAGCTCAACAAAGTTTAAGAAGGGTTAAATCTCCAAAACCCAGTATAAGAGAAAAAAATTTCACTTGATAGTCAATAAATGTGATTTTACTATATAAAAACCCAGAATCTGTTTAAAAATAAATTTTAAAACAATTTGCGCAAACTTTTGGAGATTTAACCCTTCTTATATTTTGTTGAACTGCGTAAGAGGTTTCCTGTGATATAATTTTCATATCAATTAATAAAGTAGTTTCAGCGTAATTCTTGATTAATTGAAAAAAGCCAAAATGACCCATTTTTGGGGTAAAATTTTTGTTGAGAATTTCGGAGAAAAAATGGCACCATATTAATTCTGGTGAAATTCTAAGCAACTTTTGTCCTCTTCATTTTTTTGTCTAATCTTAACCCCAATTGAGAAAAACGCGTTTGAAAAATTCAAGTTTTGTTCGTTTTGTCCGGATAATTTAAATGAGCACTGTAGATGTTTCACTGGATGAAAAATAGTACGCCAATGAATGCAAGGCCAGATGCACTTTCCGAGCGCCGCTTTAGATATCGCCTATAAATAAAATGATCGAACTGTCCAATAGTACATAAATAAACACAGGTGTTTTCATCACATGACTAGAGGATGTCTGGAAAAATTCTGATTTTATTTAAGCAGACTTAATCTGTGTTCTCACTTGATGCAATGCCGAGTAGTAGTCGTCGATGACAGTTTCCCGATTGACCACTCGGGTGGTGCTCTTGGAGGAGGAGGAAGTGTTCATCATGCTGCTGCTATTCTTACGGATCACCTCTTTTGAGTCCCTGTCAGACGCGTAGGCTGTGTCCAGAATCGAGCCAGAGAATTCGTCACTTGAAACAAAATAAAATGTTTTGGTAACAAATAAACTAGTTTGAATGGTAATGACCAAAAAAATGATTTGCATTGACAACCGTAAAAGCTCATCAGGTTTCAAATTTTTCGTTTGATTTCGAATAATTGTTTTAACTTCAATATTAACATACTTTTTATAGAGCACCAAGAAGTACTTCAAGATGGATAACTGAAGCTCAGTGTTATGTATGGATTTTGAACAAAGCGGCAATCTTACTTTCGTCTGTCGCGTGTGCTCTCCGCTCTCTTCCGTTTCATTTGACTGGCGCTGGTTTTCCTCTTGCTCGACTGCTGGTTAGTCAGTTGACTCAGAGACGCCATCTGGGGCGAGAAGGCGTCCAGGTCTGTCATCAACATCATCAGGTCAGTCCTGTCCTTCTCCGCCTGAGCGCCTCCTGCTCAAAACAAATACTGACTCTATCCGAACTTACCCCCCAACCATGCATAAGCATGACATAATTCGGGTTATAAGCTATATTCCCAAAGATAAAAAAAATCCAGGTATTCCCAGATCCCGCCCGATAAAATACCCCATATGACTAAATCCCCCAACTTTTGATTTTACTATCCTCTGAACTTGATTGCCTGTAACTTTTTTTTATCACTGACTGCGAGTACTGACTTCGTTTTAATTTGAGTTCAATATAAACAAAACCCTTTTAAATAAAACGCCGCCTTTTGACTCGAAGTTTTTCTAGAATTAAAGCCAGATTTTCTTATTACATAAGCATGATTGGCTCTTGCTAGATTATTAGAATGTTACGGTTTTAACTTTTCCCATATCTCAATTGTAAACAAAAAAAAATTATTTGTGAATTGAACTCAAGCTGAATCTTTAGAGAGTCAAATCTTTGGAGAGGCAAAAAAAAATCAAAATTTTCTTAAAAAAGTTATCAAACCACTTGGCAGAGTCATTGTGGTGAGTGAATGAAAAATTATGGACCATATTTTGCAACTGTTAATGCAAATGATAAAAAAGTATGAGCATCGAGTTCTCAAAATTAAGCAAGAGACAGACATGTAAGTATAACAAGAAAAATTCTGCTGGCGTGAGCCTTCCAACTTATTCTTAAGCTGTTACAATTTGATGAATTGCTAGAAGCGAAGCAAAGTTTCGAACTAAATGCGACAACACACTTCAGAAAATCACGACAGTTAGCCATAAAACAGTCTAAAAAAGTAACGAACGCAAGGAAACCGATTTGTTTATTGAAAAAATTTCACCTTTCGAATTTTAAAGAAAAAAAATGTGCCCTTAACGCCCTTTGAATTTCACAAACAATTTATGATTGGCGTTTTTTTGATAAAATTAACCCAATTTGAGAAAAATGGATCAATCAGTAAAGTTTTTATTTCGCTGTGAAATCCGATTATTGAAGTCCATTTTCGAAATTATTAGTCGATCACGTTTTTCGTGACCTTTGCACTTTTGCCGTTCAATAAAGGAGTCTTTTTCAGAGAAGAGTATGTTTTTTCGTATGTTCTTTCACGACAATATGTTCTTTCACGACAAGGGATGAATGAAAATTGAAATATTAGAACGCATAAATTAAAAAAAATCATTTACATAGTTTAGCGCACTTTTCCGGGCTCTTTCACAATTTTCGGGGATCTTTCACAATTTTCTGGCATCTTTCCCTCAGAAAGAGCAAAAACATTCTTCAACAGTTAGAACATAGTTGAAGATGGCCTCGGGCAAAAGAGCCGCACTGGGGCACTTCGTGCCCTCGAGCTGGGCTCTTTTTCCCTCGGGCATCTTTCAACTATGTTCTAACTACTACAAAGAAATGAAGTGAACTTTTAAAGAAACGAAATTCAAACCGCGAAAAATCAATTTTGAGCGTTAAATTATTTCAAGATTTTTCCTGAAAAAAAACATCGGGAACATCATAACTGTCTGAACGATGTTCATCGACTTTTAATACGTTTATCACAACAAATTAGCTCAACTAATATCTGTTGTATTTAGTTCCATCAGGCATTCCATCAGAACAGATATGCCCACTTCTGACCCGAATGGTTCAAGTGATTATGTTAACTTGAAAAAGGTTATATTCCGTTTTGATAAGGCTTGCTAATCACAGGCGTAATTAACGTACTAACTTTTGGTCAAATATCTAGTTCGATTAAGAAAAAAAAAACGATTCTGCAATTCGTATAATTTCACTTTCAGTAAGTTGATTACGTTGTTCAACCTTTCTTCATTTTATCCTTATTTGCTCAACATAAGTCTTTTGCGAGAGACAAACTTTTTGTTCCGACTTTCGTAAAGAAAGTAACGGAATATTTGTGCTCGTGGTGGTTTTTTTTTCTTCAGACAAATTTCGACTTTTTAACTAGCCATTTTTGACGAAATTTTTAAATATCATTCAAAAAGTGTTGTTCGTGCTTTAATCTGGAAAGATATTTCACCTGTGATCATTTTTTGTAAAGTTATGGGGATATAAAAACTGCCATTTTGACCAATTTGGGACAATTAACGCGCGATATATTTCGCGCTATTAACGCGTAAGCGGAGATTTAATCCGTCTTAGAAATCAAGTCACATGAACGTTTAGTGGTAAAATCCACAATTCAAAATCAAATACAATTTCATTAAGACAACAAAAGCAAAAGTCTTAACTTGTTGTTCCGACTTTCGAAACGAAAGTAACGGAATATTTGTGCTCGGGGTGGATTTTTTTTTCTTCAGACAAATTTCGACTTTTTAACTAGCCATTTTTGACGGAATTTTTTATATCATTCGAAAGGTATTGTTGTCCTGAGCTCAAATTTGATAAGATATTTCACCTGTGGTCATTTTTCGTAAAGTTACGGGGGTTTAAAGATTGTCATTTTGGCCAATTTGGGACAATTAACGCGCGATATATTTCGCGCTATTAACGCGTAAGCGGAGATTTAATCCGTCATAGAAATCGTTCCAAATTGGTTGCAGAAAGCTTATTTGCCATAATTGACTTGTTATTAGGAGCGAAATCTATCACTTTGTACTTCATATGGCGTGATGGTTTTAAAAGTTTTTTGCATTTCTTTTTTTTAAAAATTCCTCATTGTGAGCGAACACCGCTCCATAGACGTTAGAAAGTAGTTGCAACATTTAAAGTTTTACCCTGATACGAGCAGTCTTGGTCTTATTTTGAAAACAACTCAGTAAATTGAAACCAACTCTATTTTTTTTGCTCTATATAACCTCTGATTTGTCTTTTTTCCGCTCTACAAAACACGATTACGGAGTAAAAACATTCTCTAGTTCATCTACCTTCTACTCCAAAAATGACCTTAAGAGTAGAAATCTGAAAAAGCAAGTTTTGTTTAAATATTTCAATTCGCGTTCCAAGCGCCCATATTTATAAGGACTAATCTCGAAGAATGGAAAGTATCTATGATAAAACATTTTCTCTTTCTTGATTTAGGATACCTCAAAGCGCTCGTGTAGTGATTCAAATGTAATCTTATATCAACTCCCTTTAAAATAGATTTTAAAATAGTTTTCTCGATGATCTCAGAGAAAAACTGATCTAAATAATACAGCTTGCAAAGCTGAATGAAAATTTTGGCCCATGTGCACAATTTCCCCTTAAGCTAACCATGTGGAGGATCTACCGCTGAAAATTGAATAAAACCAAGATGCAAAAATCTGAATTCTGATTGGCTAAAAAGTGCGTTCAACCATTTGATTCATCTCCTGCCTGAATTGATTTAAGAGGAGATTGTTCACTTGGTCCAAAATTGTTAATTGCACTGCAAACCGTACCTGATCCTGCAGTCCTGGTAGAAGTAACTGTGGAGCCCTTCCCGTCTTTGTTTGTAGAGTAGCTGTGTTGCTCGAACAGAGAGTAACTGGTGTTGTTGACATTGTTGTTTGTGTTGTTCGTTGCATACATATTCGAGTTGTTCAGAGATCCGTAGCTTCGAGACAAAGACCTACTGTACAAATATTGAGTGTTTCATTCAATCCAATGGCTAGCGTTACTATCCATTCAGTTATTCAGTTTTCATTGCAAAATTTTTACCGAGATTCTCATGAAAAATATATAAATCGCCCATGTAGAGATATTGACAGCAGATAATGTTTTTGAAATTTCCAAAAAAAAATCGATGGAACATTATTTCCATTAAAGAAAATTACGACAGTGTGTTAGATCTTCAATTATTATATCTCTTCACCAAAGACTAAATTTCGGCCAGAAAAAAGGGCAAACTTTTATGCAATCTCGTGCTTCCTTTAGTTAGATGTTTTTTTTTTCGCAAAAGATCTGGGTTAAAAATTCGATTCCCAAGCCGGACCATCTTTGATAGAGATAATAACTTATAATCTCTTGCTTTTTTTATAAAGATGGTTTACTCACTTGTTGTTGAGGGAGAGAGAACTTCCGTCGAGATTTGTAGTTGAAGTTGAGTCCAGGTTGTACCTGTTGGCAGCTGTAGACGTGCTCACTTTCACCGGCTGTCGTCCCCCTCTTCCTACTCTCTTCAGAGAGGAGCTGCGACTGTCCGCACCTCCCATTCCTATGATGTTCAGTCTCTCGCTCTCAGAGGAGCCGATGTTTAGATGCAAAGGCACCTGGAAATAGACGAGTGTCCGAGACAACAATATCAGAAAAACCGGTAAAAACTTGAAGCTGCTAAAAACAATGCTAAAGATAAACAAGTATAGCTGGTTACTGTGCAAGTGGCACAGAATGTTCCGACCATAGTCTTAAAAAAAACAACAAAATTTTTTCGAATTATTGTCGCTTCTTTTTCGGCGTAGGGTGATAAAAAGAGCTGAACAAAAAAATTGGAGACTAAAAACTGGAATAAAATAAGCAATTTGAAAAAAAAATTTAAGAAAAGTTACTTGAAAAATCAAAAAAACTTATTTTTCAAGTTATGCAGTTTTTTGAATTTTTGAAAACTTTGATTCCACCAAGGCGCAAAAATACTCAAAATAAACTAACGCTACTCATGTAAAACTAAGTTTTTACGTTTTAAATTAAGCTATTGTAAACTTTTAAGCAGTTAAAACATGACTGCTCGCTCGCTTTATTCAATCGAAATAAGACGAAAAATCAAAAGTTTCAAATCGGTTTTTCTCGACACTGGTTTTCAAACCGGTTTTTAAAATTTTTTTTAATGTCGATCGAATTACGACTGAAAGGGCTTTGATATAATATATCACTCAAACCAGTCCAATGATTATTTGTGGTACCTGATTTTGCGTGGAAAAGAAAAAGAAAAAAAACTAAAACACCCGAACACAAAGTTCCTCCCCATATTCAATATAAAAATTCAATATAAAAAAAACTACAACAGAAAGTGTGTTCTGTTTTCAATTCTTCATTTTAGTAACGTTTTTTGTCCATGGTTTGATCAGAGAAATACACAAACACTTAGAAATTTAGCCATTTAGTGAAATGTAATTAGAAAAAAAATTCTACAACTTTTTCTATTTTTTTACCATCTTTTTTTCTTTTTTTTTTAGAAAAATTTTATGGCCAAGAAAGCGCTGAAGAAAGTTTTCAATGAAGTTTTCCGTTGAGAAAAATCAAGTTTTCTGAGCCTAAATGTCATACAGCGAACGTTACTCGATCGCGTTATCCGCTCCAAATTAGACTAAATCCCAACAACTTCAAACCAATTTTTCTCGACACTGGGACAACTTTTTGAAAAAATTTTAATCTCGTTCGAATCACGATTGAAAAAGCGTTGATATGATTTATCACTCGATACATTCCGATGATTATTTGTGGTACCTGATTTTGCATGGAAAAGAAAAAATTGAAAAAAAAAACGCCCGAAGTTGCTCCCCATTTTCGTTGGTAGGGACAATACGTCGAATCGTTCGCCGTATGGTTCGACTGACTCATATTTGGAATCTTCGATAGAAATCACTCCTTTATAAACTCGCAAAGTAAGAATATTTCCAAGGTTAAGCGTTAAGAAAAAACACATGTGATGAAGATAAGTTGATCGTTTATTAAGTAAACCAAAGTCAATTTCTTAGCCTTATTTCCGGCGGCAAAATTTTTACCTCTGGCGGAGTGGACTGTGGCCTGCTCAATGACGACACATCCTCTACATGCAACTGAAAATTCAACACTTCCATCTCCAGTGTCTTCAGCTGGGACAGTCTGCTGTTCAGCAGTCTGATTCGCTCTATGAACAAAGCCAGTCGTTCTGGCCCATCCTTCAGCAGTCTCCTCTGGCCCTCGCCCACTCCCCCACCCAGTCTCACTAGGTCTCCCATCTGGGTCTCGAACTCCAGAAGATCCACTAAAACAGACAGTCAAATCACTCGAACTGTTCAAAAAATGCAATCAAAGTGAATTCGCCACATTGACTCATACATTGTTTGATTTCAAATTATCCTAGTTAAGGTTTACGAAAACTTAAGACCAAACACGTCCGAGGTAGCTCTGTCATACACCACTTTATTGTCATAATTAATTTGATAGCAAAACAATTAAAGTAAAAATGATGCTACAAATCAGCACCATTAAAACTTTGCCAACAGACAGTTGGAAAATAATCAACTGACATCTTTTTTGAAAAAACTTTTCGAATTTAAAAGTAAAAGTATACGCCCTTAAAGCTCTTTGAATTTCAAGAAAATTCTGGTTGGCACTTTTTGATAAAATTTATTTGAGAAAAAATGAAAGAGTCTTGACTACGTTCATTGACTTTTAAAAAGCAGCACCCTGGGTAGCCAACAGGGATGCCCAATAAAGGATTGTAGACCTCTTGTAGAAATCCTGCAGTCGCTTTTGTTTTTAGACCCAAAATTCTGACATATAACATGTATTTGCCAGTATCAAAATTCAATATAAATCTTCAGGCACACAGGCTGAAACTGAGGTAAAACTCTACTTGGTTTTGACAAGACTTCCTCAATTTGGAAGCCTTTTGAATCAGCGACTTAAGTTCAATTTTTCTGCGATTCGAGAAATATCTTTAGATTCATTTTTGCTTTTTGAAAAGGCTTCCAAATTGAGGAAATCTTGTCAAAATAGAATAGCGTTTCTTGGAAGTTGCGAGGGAATGCACTGCAAATGAACAGACTTCCGCGTACCAGAAGTGATGGACTGACCTTTGACCTTAGAGATGAGTATGCCTGTGTCCTGTACACTGTGTGTAAGTTGTTCCACCCTTCTGTCCCAGATGGTCTTCAACTCCTGTCTCTGCTGGTTATTGGAAGGAGGGAACTTCGAGTAGTGGTCCGCATCACTCCGCATCTTCTCCAACATCAACTCCATCTCACTTAAGAAACAAAATCAATCTTTAATTTGGAGAGCTATCTTAATTTTTAAACAGCTGTATAAAACAGATGTTTCAAAATCATATGTAGTTTAGCCAACATTAACGAGGTCGATCAATTGCTCTATAAAAACCACTTTAAACGACTAATTTCTTTGAAAGCGCAGAAAAAAAAAGAGGAGATCAAAAGACCTTATCTCCGATTCCAGTTTGTCCAGGGTCGCCAGATGAAGAGCCCATGCCTGTGCCAATGCCGAAGTCCTCTTTCCCCTCGCCTCTTCGTCCTTCCTGGCATGTTGTGCGAATGCTTCTATGGCCGCACAGATCTTCTGGGACGCCTCTCGGATCATGAGCTGGCTCGCGGTCACGTGGTTCGCATGTGCTCGCTTCAGCTGGTTCAGTTCCAGGCGCAAGTGGCGGGTTCGCTCTCGCAATGCGCACAGCTGGTCGAAGGTAATTCGATTCTTCTCTGTAAAAATAACCGGATCAATTTAAGCAAAATTAACTGAAGAACTACAATGCAGTTATTTCAATGAAAAATACATCACTTTTCTCCCCTGAAAACAAATAATAAGTCCATGAACAAAAAAGAAAGCTTGCCCGACGCACCAAAATCAAATTAACAGCCACTACCGATTTTGCGCTTTTCATTTAATCTTTCATTTTCCCCCAAATATTTCGAAAAATTCATGGAAACCGCTTTGTATCAGATGGTACTAACCATTTACAGTACTAATGTACTGGTTATGATGTCTAATATTCATCATTGTGCTGCTTGTGGTTGCATTCGAACTTTGACTGCTGTTGCTTTTATTTTGCAGCTGTTGCTCAAACAGATATTTCAACTTTTCCAAGGTCTCCAACTCGGCTGCAATTCTAGCCTCCTGTTCTTTATTATCTTTACTCCCCCCACTCGACTTCGACTTTTCCTTCTGACTCGCAAGGAGGGTTCCCACTAGCTGCGTCAGGTCTCCCAGCTGCCCTTCGATGTGGTCCAGCTTGCTGTTTTGAGCCGAGGAGTCGCCGACCTGGTCTCGAATGAGAATCGTCGAGCTCTTCTCGATCCGCTCCCGAGTATTGGAGCTTTCATTGGTGTGTCTACTGGCATTCAACCTATGGATTTATAGATGGACTAACTTAGACTCAGAACAGAAATAGCCATCAGAAAATGTCAGTTTAATCTAGTTTTCTTGATTAGACTCTCTAATTGAGAAGTCTTCTGTATCGGTAAAAACTTGATCTATTCAATGCTTAAATTTTTCCATTACGACTACAATATTTTAACATCAATAAAAGCCCCCGCCCTACTCAATGCAGGACCATCCATGTGTCAGGGGGATGTCATCCCTTTCGCCGTAGCTGATCCGGCCCCACCATGAGGAGGCAGATGACACTGAAACCCCGCGTATCGTAACCGCAGCGGGATTCGAACGCACGACCCTCTTATTGAGAGACACGTGCCTTACCTCACTCAGCCATGGCACAAGCCAATAAACTAAACAAAAAAAATGTTTTCCTTTACCTGTCAACAGCAGAACTCTTTGCACCAAGTCCTGATTCTGTCCCATCTCTGTCACCTGAACCATCATCCTGATCGATTCCCAAAAATCCCGGAGGAGTCTTCGCGAGGTAAACATCGCCTTCAGTTTCTGGGGAAATGGTATCTTCATTTTGAGAGATCCTCGGACCAGGAGGAGTCGCCACTATAAAGAGAATCATTTTTTATAAACATATTAAAACACAATAGTTAAGATAAGTAATGCTTAAGCGCAAAATAAACGAAACTTTCTTTCATCAAGATATTTGATATCTAAATCCTACTTGTCCTAGAAGTATTTTGGGCCTTAATGGAGGATCCCGCTGTGAAGTTCCTGCCCAGTGTCTGAGCACCCCCTCCCCTGCCTAGACCTCTGCCTGTTTGGTCTCTACTAGCGAAAGAACTGCTTCTCTCCCGGTCTAGTTGATCCAGTCCCGCCGGCTGACTACCGCCTCCGGTTGCCTTCGGGTGGACAAGTGGAGCCGATCCACGACCGTCTGAGTTAGTTCGTCCACTAGGTGCAACTGGTTGGAAGACCTAAGTAAAAGCGAGTTGAGAAGAGCTAAGCAATCTTCAATATGCAATAATTTACTTTTTCGCTGCGGTATTTCTCTGATTTATATTTCTTGAAATGTTAATCGTGAGCAAACTTATAAGCTCGATTATGATTTTTGAATATTATCGCTGCAGCAAGTTTAAAAAACAGTATGCACTTCATATTGAGCTGATACAAAAATTCAAATTTAAATCAGATTTCAGGTTGCTATCGAAACTAGTAGCCAGAGAACCAAGAACCCCGGAAAACTCGAATATAAAAAAATAACAAATTAATAAAACAAGCATGCCTACCGATAGCTTCAGTGGCGGTCTAGCACCTGTCCCCGACCCCAGTCTCCCCATTCCAGGGCCTGTCCCACTGCCTGGAGTGCCGTCTGCCTTGTCATATATCCCGTGGCCACTCTTGCTGTGCGGCAAGGTTCCCGACGCAGCCGATGCGTAGTCCCGGATAGACAGGAAACAACGCGGCTTCACGTCACTGCAACAAAGTCACAGATTTGAGTTTGAGATTTTCAAAAAACGTTTTGAAAAAATAACATTGCATATGAGTCTTGAAGATTGAAAATAAATTTCAAATTAAACGAATTTATTTCGGAAAAACTTCCATTTACAAAAAATATTCAGCAAGGGGTCAAGATATCAACGATAGACAATTTTATTGTATTTTGACCCCCTCATTTATGAAAAACGATTGATATTGCTCACGTTATATCCTCCAGTTCGTAGAATATGCCTGTGTTCTCGTCCTTGATGTAGACTACTTTCTTCTTGGAAGAGAGATCCTCCTCAGTCACTGCGATTGGGAAGAGAGACACCAGGAGACCATGCAGCTCCCTCATGTTATTCAGAGCCACACTTCTGTCCTGATCGCCACCAGCCAAACCACTGTTTTCTGGAATACACGTATGCGTAAATGTGTGTACGTAAACGTATGCGTATATGTGTGTGTACGTAAACGTATGCGTATATGTGTGTGTACGTGAACGTATGCGTATATGTGTGTGTACGTGAACGTATGCGTACATGTGTGTACGTAAACGTATGCGTATATGTGTGTGTACGTAAACGTATGCGTATATGTGTGTGTATGTAAACGTATGCGTATATGTGAGTGTAAGTGAGCGTATGCGTACATGTGTGTGTACGTGAACGTATCCGTATATGTATGTATAGATGTGTAGCGACTTAGCAAAACTTGCAGTCGGAAAAAGCGGGTCATGATTCTACACTAAAAGTAGTATTGACAGGAGTCTATGAACATAATACAGAAAATTTGAGACATCAAACAATGGACTCAAATTTTCTGTATTGAAAGTTTCAAAAAATTCAATAATTGTTGACCCTCACACTTTTTTTGTTGACGCAACGTTAAGAGAGCTGGTGTATCACAACAAAAAAGGTAATAATAATAAGGACCAGTAGAAAAATTCAATAATTGTTGACCCTACCTCTAAAAATTCAATATGACCCTCACACTTTTGCTGTTCGATAGCGGAGTGCGCCTTCATTCTAAAGAAATAACTGAATTTGAGGAAAATGGGCTGAACCAAGTTACTGAACTGAACTCGCGAAAAGGGCAAAAAGTCAAGTTTGAGACTTAACAAGACTTAACCTGAAAACTTTTTACCTATATTAAAAGACCTCACTACGTTCATTGACACTTGAAAAAAAACTTCAAATAGAACGGGAACTTAAAAAGCGATCATGCTGCTAAAATGAATCTATTGAAGTAATAGTCCGCCAAATTTAGGAGTATAAATTCCCACAGGTATAAATTTTTAATTTTAGGTAAAAGACTACCCAAAACCTTCTGTTGAAAGTGTATATTTCTAACAAAATTTCTAGTCTAGGTTGATAAACGTATACGCATTAACAAATTTGATTGTTTCTGCAGTACTATGTATATATTTGATTGTGTGTGGTGCAGCCATAGATAACATATTAAGACAAACTTCGGAGACGTTCACAGAAACCTAAATTGCAATGAACTTCAGCGCCTAAACATATAACGGACGCAAATGTTTATCTTTAACCTTTTCCCTTGATATTTGCTAGAAGGTTTTGATATCTTTGAGTGATTTGCAGAATTTTTTGTTTTGACTTGGTTCATTGTGAATTTATTCGCTGCTATCCAATTTTCATGTTAGGGACATAATTTATAATTGTATACTGGTATCACCATATATTTTGATATCATCTGCAAAAAAAACAGCATTTTTACATTTCGGGATTGCAGAAAGATCATAGATCTAAAGGAGAAACAAAAATAAATGCTAGAACCTCTATTAAAAATCTATGGGGAGCTCCACGCTTAATTATATACAGAGGCAAAGCTGAGCTTCGCACCACTTGCAATACAAAAAAAATGAGAAATACCAAAAGATAATGTGTGTGAAACGAAGTAAAGACTTGAATGACTTCTGTTGAAGAAATCGATAGCTTGAAATATCAAGAAAAAATTTAATGCAATTGTTAATAATTCAATTACCTACAACATAGAAAAGATTCGGGCAACACAAACCCCATTCATATCTTTCTCATAACCAATAGATGGAAACGATAAGAAAATTTTTGTTCAAAAACTTGAGATCCAAAAGTTCCTGAATGTACTCAAAACTTTGCTTTGCTCTTGCAAAGAAAAATCTACAGGTTCTATAAGGGAGGAACAATTGATTTTACGACTTTGAAGAAAGATCAAATTGAAAAATTTTTAAAAAAACCACAAAAAACGAAAGCATAAGTTTTAAACAATTTCCACCAAAAAAACTTGCAAAAAACCTGAAAAAACTCTTAAGGCTTTTTAAAATAACCCAATTACTTTATACTTATCAAATAAGAAGTTGATACGCAACGTTAACAGAGCTGGTGTATCACAACAAAAAAGGTAATGAAAAAGACCAGTAGAAAAATACAAAAAAAAATGAATTCAGAAACTTCAGCTAGAAAAACCACACTCCTGAATCTCGTGCAAATTTGCCACATATCTTCTAAGACAAAACAGTTACTCATTTTGACATATTAAAACAAAAAACTATGTCACCAACTTGAATTGAACTAAAAAAAAATGCTCAATCCTAAAATACATCAAAGAGAAAAAATTAAAACTAATTCTTTAGATCACAAACCATGCATTCGAAATAAAATCAGAAACCACACATTTTTTCTTTCCTAACAAAAAATTTTGGAGTGTACAAAAACCAAGAAAAACTTGCATTAAATTTACGCTCAGGAATATGAAGTTAAAATTAATAACAATAAATTACGAAAAAAAACACCTGGCAAGTAAGCCCACAAAAATTGGTACGAAATCAAAAAAAAAGCCAACAAAAAATCATTTCATAAGTGAAATTATTTTAGCTGTAGAACCAATTCAGTAGCTTTAGACCAGATGTTAAATTACAATTGTTAAAAGTACAAGATGGCTAAAATCCAAAAATTTATATTAAAAAAAATCGTGTTAAATTTTTCTAATTTTATTAAGGAAGGCTAAAAGAGTGATCAATATTTTTCAAAAACTTCTTGTTAGACTTCATTCACTAAAAAACAACAAAAATTAAAAGAATACAAACGTTAGAAAAATAAGCCAACAGAATTAAAGCCGAACGACCTCAGTGCCGAAAATCTACCAAAAACTCGAAACATAAAAATTAATTTTCAACTCTTTACGTAAACGGCACATATTTAGCCAATACAGTAGCCAAGCTTTTAATTAGCAATACAGCGGTACACTAATAATGTATGTAGCGGGTGTAAAATATACTGATTATCATTAGATCATTCTGTGAACAAAGTTGTTTAGGGGAAAAAAGTCTGGTACCGATTGCAATACCCTTGCTTATCGCAATGGTAACGATGTATACATTTAGTTTCATTATTTTGAACAAACGAATTGTTGTCTGGATGAGATTTTAGAATTGACTAGAATTTCCCTCTCAGTCCAAGAATTTCAAAATAGGATTTTCAAGTGAGAGCTGCTAGAGTAGTGCAGAGGAAAACCGTCAGCACGAAGTTGTTCCTAGAATTCTCCTGAGAAGCAATCCATTAACATCCAAATACTTGTGCTCAAATACCCTCAATTAACACAAGTGAATTTTATTTATGCAAAAAAGATAGGATTTAGCGCTGCGGTGTAAGAAGAAATTCTAAAGAAAAATTGACACAGAGGCGAAGTTGCACACACAAGCAAAAATATGACCAATAACGCTACTGGTAAAAATTGAATGAGTAAAATTTTGATTCTACAAATTTCTTAAGTGACGCACGCCAATTACAACGCATTAGCAATACCAGTCAATTTGAAAAAAAAATTTACCAACCAACTTGCCTCAATCACGCCATATTAAGTACAAAGTGATAAATTTAGCTTCTAAAAACAAATCAATTATGGCAAATAAGCTTCCTTGAACCAATTTGGAACAATTTCTTCGACGGATTAAATCACCACTCACGCGTTAATAGCGCGAAATAAATCGCGCGTTAATTGTCACAAGTTGGCCAAAATGGCAATCTTTAAACCCCCATAACTTTACGAAAAATAATCACAGGTGAAATATCGTTTCAAAATTAAGCTCAGGACAACAATACCTTTTGAATGATTTTTAAAAATTCCGTCAAAAATGGCTAGCTAAAAAGTCGAAAATTGTCTGAAGAAAAAAACCATCCCGAGCACAAATGTTCCGTTACTTTCGTTACGAAAGTCGGAACAATAAGAGTCTATGTTAAAATCCTTAGCATTGGCTGTACTTAATAGTTGGTTATTGATCAAAATGAACACTTTCAAAATGAATGCATTTTATCGCAACAATATTTGCGTCGAAACAATATTTGCGACTTAGGAGAACCGTCAGCACGAAGTTTTTTCAAGATTTTTTTCTGAGAAAAATCCATCAAAATCAAGTACAACGTGCTGAAATACCCACAATTAACTCAAGCGAATTTTATTTATGCAAATTTTATTTTATTAAGCGCTGCCGTTTAAGAAGAAAATCTTCAAAAAAAGATTGCAACTGTAGCTTAGAGATATGATACCATCAGTTTTGTTGGTATAGTGTGCTTCGCTTACCATCGTAGTAGGGCGGATGTGCGAGAGGTAGAGACAGTTTCTTCACTTCAGTGCCCCATTGAACATAGCAGGTGTTCGAGGGGACAACTGTTCCCGCCCCTCCTGGTCCTCCGAGACCGCCGAATGGTCGCCTCATAGTATGGGGCGTGGCACCATTAGGCAAATACACATTTTGCACAGATGGCTGAAAAATAAATTAAATTTTCCCAACTCTTTTTGAGCATAAAGGCAACGCGTGTCTTAACTTAAACGACTATACAAATTAACCACGAAATTGGGAAATTGTAATAGTTACTAACGGAAAAATCGAGAAGAAAAAAGATATTATTTTTTTCTGCTGACAGAAAAATGATTTTTTTTGAAGTTTGAAATATTAGGTGCATGCATCACTGACAATAATTGAGTTCAAATTGCTCGTGAATTTATATATCGGCCATTTATACCAAAAAACCTTTTCAAAAAATTAATACTTTTATTTTTTTTTGTCATTAATCGTAAGCAAAGTTTTTACAGCCAGTTTTCCATAATCCATTTTCTTTTTCGACTGGTGAAACTTTCTTAACGCCTACGCAACAAAAAAATGATGCGCCTCGAGAAATGAAAGACTGCTTCAATGAAGACGCTGCGGTAACTTCACGTCGGCCCTTCAAAGCACACGCAATGTAATAGCAAACTCTGTCGCTAACAATTAAGGCCTTACTGAGTATCCGTAGGGTGCCATTGGCTTCATAGGAGCCCTGAGCAAGTTGGACTCCGAGGCGTATCTGGGTCTGTTTCCTCCCCCCAGGGGACCCCCACCTGCCGGTCCTCCGGCGCCATCCCAAACATCTCCACTGGGCGATCTCTGCAAACAACAGATAAACCAATAATATAAACCAGAAAAAGATAAACCAGAAAATTTTCATTGCTACAGTGAATTTTTTGAATGAAACAGTGAATTATTTGACTGTTAGACTACATTATAAAGATACTGATTTTCTTTTTAAAACACTTCAAGCAACGAACGTTTAAAAGTCGGAGTAAAACAAAAAATGCATCCAGCTGACCAATAGAAGATTTAGGAGTCACTGATATCTTGAAAAGTTTAAACAACTCTAGTCATGAGAGACTTTACTAACCCAGCCCAAAAATAATGAAAAAGCATGAAGTTCTTAACCCGGGGCGTAACCGCGGTTCTCCGTGATGAGCTGATCCTATGCTCGTATGCTGGTCCTTTCCTTCGTGGATAAAGTCTTAACAACTAACCTTGTTGTGTGTGAGTGCCAGTGTCTGGAACAAGTCCGGCTGTGCTTTGTTGCATTTCTCGCAGTTGCTGTGGTCCTTTCCGTGTTTGCCAGCCGCACTCCCAGGTTTATCCACCACACTACGCACCTGCACAAAACAAGAAGTGAGAAAAAATTTGAGAGATATTATTCAACAGTCTCAAAATAGTCGGACGAATTTGCAAAACAGTCGGACTATTCAATCAAACTTTTTTAAGAAAGGAGATTATTAGACGCAGGGTGATGCTGAAAATGCCCCACCGATTGCCCTTTTTAGTTTCTCTCTACAAATATTTTCTTACAAATTATACAAAAACGGCAATTCGTATAAAATTATCCTCGAAATGGAAAACCTAGCATCTTAGATATCATGCGGTAAAAAATTCCTATTAAATAATTCACAGTTGCTGTGCGAGTAGCACAGAATGTTCCGACCACATCATTAAAAATCCAAAAAAAGGTTTTTTATTTCAAATTAATGTCCTTTTTTTGAGAATCAACAAGTTTTATTCAAAAATGAATAAAAAAGAATTATGAAAAAAATTGACAGAAAGGCAAAACGAGCTTCGCGTCACTTGCAAAACAACAATGAATGACAATGATTACTAGCAAAAGAAAGGACAAAACAAAATTTGAAAAAAAAACATTAATTGACAAATACGTTAACTGAATCGAACTCCTGGGATTTGTCTTCTCAAGAATGGGTGTTACCACTGCACTGAATGCGCAGAACACTCATTGATATTATATATAAAAAAACGTTAAAAAATTTTACATGAACAGCAAAAAAAATCAAAAAAGAGCTAACAAACAGACGAAACTTCTTGGAACGCAATTACTTGCCTGAATCCGGAATACACTGAAACATTTAAAAAAGCCCAAACTTTAGGCAAATCTGGTGATGCGACAACTAAGCCGACTGAAAAACAGACAAACAGAAGTACGACAAATAATTTTTGACCCGCGAACAATTTTCCGCTCACAAAAAAAAGACGGTACTGGCCGGATTCGAACCAATGACCTTTATCTTTATATGCAGGTGCGTTAGGCGAAGAGCTAACGAATTAACATCTAACGTTTAACTTCATAAGACCCAAAGGTAAAATGATTCAAGTTATTCTGCTAAGCTAGTTGTTAATCCGAAAAAAGTCTATATTCCGGTTTGATCACGCTTGCTAATCGCAAGCGTAAAAAAATCACAAAATTTACTCAATAGTTTTGAATAAAATATCTTTAAGTTTTTCAAAATAACTTAAGGAGAAATAAAGCTCCAAAGCGAGTTTTCGTAACCAAAATTACTCGCTCGAAATTAAGGTAACTGGTTTTTCTCGGACAACTTTGTTTTGACAGCTGTTTTCCAATAGTAAAAAACCCTAAATTGTCTTCAGAAAAAATGAAGACCGCGCTTAGAGCATGCCACTAGTAATAAAATACTAAATTGCTTGACTTCCATAACCTCAAAGAAAGAAACTCTCGGATGACTCTGCCTAAATTAGAAATAATTTTTATCGATACTTCTTCATAATTTTGAGTTTCTAGGAAAGTAACAAAATATTCATGCTCGAGGCCATTTTTCAGCTCACTTTCAGCAATCGAAATAACAGTTATCTGACAGAAACTTTGGGAGATCTGAAAACTTATGGTTCAAGATTTTTTTACTTGCAACTGTTTACTATGGGCCTTTGCAAATTGTCAGCTCGGACAATTTTTGGACTAATTGGCACATCATTTATTTCGTTAACTTGTTGATACGGCCAAGACATAATTGGCGACTTAAATTGAAAATAAATTAAGGAAAGAGGCGAAAATACAACTTCGCAAACACGAGCGAGAAAGCGGCAAAAAATCAGGAGCTTCAAAATACACACACAAAAAATTTTGCATGAAATAATTTAGAATTTAATCAACTAACGGCAACCACGCTAACTTTGCAATAATTATGACAAATTGCTATAAAAGTATGATTTTTGAAAACCTGGCAAATATATCGAATGGAAACTTTTGAAATGGCAATTCAATTATCATACTGCTGTATGAAACAAATAGCTTTTATCGGTTCAATTGATGAATTAAAATTTGTTAATAATCAAATGTCAAATCCCATAATTATTCTAAAGCTAATGCAGCCTTTTGATTCAAAAGTATCACCAAATGTAGCGCTTTTAATTGCGACTTAGGTTAGAAAATCAAGTTTCATCATACTAAGCTAGGCTCGCGTAATCATTCAATCTTAATTTAAAAAAGCAACAAAAATCAGTTTAGCCTTTATGCCTTTATAACTTTTCTGCCTTTATAATTTTACTGATTTTTTCTTTGCCAAAAAAACCTTGACAGTTGAAAAAGACAGGGAGAAAATTCAGATAACAGTGGGGTCCTCGAAATTTGACGGCAAACTTGACAGAAATCTTCTGCCCTTTCAGTTGATGGACAGTAGAAATTGTTCAAAATGAGCAACATTTAAAAATTAGTTTACCTTTAAGACCTCTTCGGGCAACTGCCCCAAGCTTGCTAGCCACTCAAATATCTTCAATAGCCACTCAAATATATGATTGAATTCAGCACCTAACATTACGCTGTGCTAATATAAAATTTGTAGAGCATCTATTATGGCTTTGAAACATCCGTTGAAACATTTAGGTGACCATTGACCATTATTTAAGTTATTATTGACTTGACTTATTTTTAACTACACTTCTGAGATGTTCCTGCTGCTAGTCACGACGATGTTTATAGAGTGATGATACGGCCACTGTTTAAAACTACTCACCCTTCTGGTGATGGTGGTGACTGGACCCCCTGCAGTGTTGTACTCCATCGTATGCTCATGTGGGTCCCCACTCCTGTGGGCTGTGTGAGAGCCACTGTCACTGCCTTGCTACAAAACACAAATTAGTCCACTCAAACTGGTCAAAATGCTTTAAATTGAGATCCAGGCACCTTAAGATTTCATTTTTGAAATTACATGCTAGCAACTTAAAAACACTTTTTTCTCCATAACACCTTAAACAGAATTGCAAGAACGTTTCTAACTTAAGCAACCATAAGACAACTCCGGGTGAAAATTGAAAAAATCTTGCCGTAACTTACATCTTCTTCGAAGTACCGCCCTCAAAATTACCCATAAGACTGAGTACAAATACACATACACCCAATAATATATAGTTGAATTCTCACCCTTCCCCTGCGATTAAAGAAGCTCTGCTGCAACTCCTGGAACTGTGAAAATCCTCCGTCATCCTCAAAATCCGAGTCAGTCTTCCTCCCGAAGTGCAACTCGGAAAACTCAGAAGATTTCTTCGATCCCGCTCGACCCGAAGTGCTCAGACTTCTCGGCTTCAATTTTTCTTTTATCTTCATTTTTAGAACAAATGTCTCTGGCTCGGGCGACGAAAATGTAGTGATGCTAAATTTAGTCTCTCTTGGAAAACTCAAACTCGAGTTGCTATTTGGTTGCTTCTTAGGTGATTTGGTCAAAAACTTTGCCGGATTTTGCGAGAACCGAAAAGAGCCAAAACTCGAACACTTAATACAATTTTCTGAAGTCGAGTGTTTGATTCTGTTCTGCCTGAATGAAAAATTAAATTTTTTCGTGCTGGTGAAATCAAAATATCGACTAATGAAGATTTCTTGCTCGATTCCGGGGGTTCTAACGGCTCCGAACTCAATTTTTCCGAGCCACAAAAGTTTTTACTGTCGTGTCTACAATTGGAACAATTGATCACGCAGTCATTTTTAAGGTTATTTTTAGAAGGTGTGAACTGATTTGATGACGTAATATTCTGCTGGCCTGAAGTTGTAGTGGCGGATGAAACTTCGCTCGTATGGGATCCGAAGCTATTTGTCGACTCTACCTGCTTTTCGGGTGAAAATACGTTGTCCCTATCTGAGGTTGGAGCCGGATTCTAAATCGATAAATTAACCTTCATTTAATAAAGATACTGACATCAGCGGATGATATCGATTTCAAAACAGCCAAAACTTTGAAAATTAAAAGCGGAATTTCTATTCAAAAACGAGAATTAAAATCTTCGGGAAGTTTTTATTATTTTGTTCAAAGCAGTTTGCCACCTTTTAAACTTATTCTGTTGCGAAGAGATAACATCGCGTACTTTAGTTAACTCTGAAATGAATTATAATCAAACCTGATTTTCCGAATTTTCGGGCTGATCTAAAGACAAATCAAACAGCGTCTGGTAATTTGAAGAACAGTTCAACCAACTAGCACTGGTCGAAGCTCTTAACTTTGCTGTGCTGCTTCGTTTATTCGCACGTTCTTCTAATATGTACTTCGAATAAAGCGGGGATGGAGGAGTAGGCGGTAACTCTGGACTGCGATTGGCCGAAAGAGATCCAAGACTACTTCCTGTTTTGGAATCCGAGAGGGTCGAGGTGGATCTGTTTGCTTTACGAGCTGGTTCTTCTTGATTCAGAAGCTGTGGAGGCGTGTAGAACAATTGGGGATTCAGAGGTCGTTTAAGAGACTGGTTCGGAGATTCGGCAAAGTTTGCAGTTCGATTGGGAAATATTGGCTGGTTCTGCACTAATAAAGCTCCCTGAGAGCAATCTAAGCATGATAAAAAATTACAAAAAAAATTTACAATACTGAATTTAAAAATTACAATACTGAATTACAAAAAAAAAATCCAAAAAAAACATACGCAAGAAAGTATTGGGTTGCATAACAATTCCTCACTAATCATAGACCAGTTTTTGGGCTTTTTTTCTCCGACCTCCCTCCCCCCTACCTGCAAACTTTAACAAATAAATGTTTTGTTCCCATAATCTATTTTTTTTGTCCCTTTTGACCGAAAGAGAGCCAGTTTTTGTATCTTGATGCGTGCCATGATAGTTTTAATGCTTTTCGGCCGATAGAAGCAATAGAAAAAAAACACTTTATAAGACAAATCGTTTTACAATATGAAACTATTTTGAGATGTCTGACATGCTACAGAAATTCAACAAACGCTCGTTTGAGATTTTCAACCCGCTATGCTGCAATTTCTCATTTTCTAACTTCGGTTTTAGCATCAATTGCAACACCAATGGGGGTCTAAAAAAACGGGGGCGTGAAGGCTTGCCTGAAGACCGTATGTTTAACTTATAAAAAAAACTAATCGATCTAAAGTTTATTCCGCTCGTACCTTGACGACGTATATACAGGCTTGACTTACCCGCTCAGCTGCTGAAATTTCTTTAGACTTCACAATAGTGAAACTTACCTTGTTAGCTTTCTGGGATTCCCAACAGAGTGCAAAATCGCGGAATGAGTTGCCTTTCGTTTGATTTGATATTTATACACACATAGTTGCCTCAACTAACCATTCAACACTACCACAACTAACCCTTCAAACTTCTTAGTTTCGTGTTGGTTAAAATCTGGTCTTCAAACGTGGATTTTCAGACCCAGCTACAAAACTGCAGTTTTCAATTCGAGAACACACTAAACTTTAGCGAATGCTCCCACATATTTAGGCCATATTTCAAAATACAAAACTGCAGGAGCGTCTTTATAACTTTCTCAAGTAGTGCAACTTATTCAATTTATTTCTAACAGGCTGTAGGAATTATCAGAAACAGTTAAACTGTTCAAGTTTCCTTTATATACTACTTAGGATCTGTTGAATCTGTCATGCTGAAGCCTACGGTATATAACCCATGGGGCGGTGCATAAGTCCGACAGAGCACAAAGGCGAAAGCTGGAAAACTAGGGCAATCATTCGAAAACCGGGCTGGTAAAAAGAGGAAAAAATGATCACCCGGGTTCTTTGTCAATTTTTTTTGACCAGACATCACAAATGACTTATTGCTTAGGGTGTCTTTCTCACCAAAAATCAGTTCCACGCCTAGACGTCAGATCGAGTAGAATGATATTGCATATTAAAGCCCTTTCAGTCATAATTCGTGCTCCAAAAAAAATCAAAGAAGTTGAATCGGTCTTCATTTTTCGTTTTTCACTTTTTTGCACCGACGACTGGAATAAATACATGCCAAAGAATCACTCACTTCTATCTATTTCGTTTCAATAGAATCATATTTGTGGTACGTTGTCTGATTTGGAGCCAACTTCAACTGACTCGTTGAAAAAAAATTTAAAGGACAACCTTTTTTGCTTTTATTACTCTGACTGATTATTAAATTTGATACCGAGACGAGGTGAGCAGTCCTATATAATTTTATTGAATGCTTTACTATTACGTAATTTCGGACGTTTGTGCCATCGGATCTGTGAACAGTCACCATACCCTAATGTATGAATGTTTAAAAGAAACCAGGAACCTTCCTGTCTTGTCTCGAGTGTCTGTGCTTATATGAAACCCCAGAAGGAAAAGAAACCTACGAGATTGATTACCAACTTTCACTTCCAGGTAATCAAGTTATATATAAGAAATTTTATTACCATTACATTTATAACCAAGAAAACTAAGTTGTCAGTTATTTGGAGACACTCAGAATTTTACTGCCTGAAGGAAACTACTCTTGAGGATTATCATTATATGCTATTTTAAAACACTATCACAGCGTATATTTTAGCAAATCGGGCTTAAGCTTTCGAACAACGAAAATGGTTAGTTTCGTGGTAGGTTGCAGCACAAATACGTAGTGAATACGTTTTCTGGGAAGCTAGCGCGCATTTTGACACCGCGTTTGACTTTGCTGAAGTGTGGATTTCTTCAATACCTTAAAAATGAACTACTGGGTAATTATTGCCAGAACAATCCTAGTTTATATCTAGCTTTCATGCTATTTCTCCTCGAAGGCAAGTTTCTCCTCGATTTGAATCAAACACATGTTTATATGACACGGCTGTTTGCTTAATTTTGCCTCCATAGATAAGATAAAACAATTTGAGCGGTTCTGGAAAGAAATTGGATTTAAAATTTTAAAGCAGCTGATCCAAACTGATCAAGAAGGACATGAAAATGTAGCGCCAAAATTTATCGCTGTCTGAAAAGATAATTAAAAAAAACTTTGCCCGTCTGAAAAACTGTGTTATCTTGATTTATATTGACTTTCGCATGCATTGATCTCAAAGAATAGATCGCTCCGAAAACATATATAAAAACAATCAGACAAAATTTGGCTGCTGTGTTTAGATACGAAAAATATGCGAAAACTATTAAGATAAAAATTGTTAATTGAAGAAGTTGAAAATACGAATGCGAGGTGAACCATCATTCATTTTCCATGTTATCCTGCACTAAATAATAATTGGTTTGAAAACGACCAAAAGCTCGACAAATTCAAGAAATCACAGAAACACAGTCACGGAGAAAAAAAAGATTTCTTGGATACCGACACCAGTGATGTCCATTTTAAAAAGCTTTTTTTTGGGCAGATCTATTTGCGCGGAACTGTGAAATTAATTATCATGAGTAAACTCTGTACTTTGGCGTCGAATCGAATACCGACGGAGCAAATTAATTTTTTTTTCAATTTCAATTGCAAGATTTAAATTAAAATTTTTCTTTTAAATTGAGTGTGCTCATAATTTCACATTTAAATAATTCGAAATTGAAATGAAAATTTAAGTTAATTTAGTTTTTTTAAATGGAAATCACTGCACCTACTTATCCTTACTCACAAGGAACCTATGCCACTTGACCTTCCATGTGAAAAGTTTCTCACCCATGAAATTTTTGTTTTTCCCACTGAACAATCGATTGTTCAAAATCTTGGGAATAAAAAAAGTTAAAATTGCTTAAAAAAACCTCTTTAGACAAAAACGTAGACTGAGTCTACACTAGCGGACAACATTAAGCGCAAATTCAGGTTTTACTCTCTAAAATGCCTGTTTTCAATTTCCATTTTGGACACTTTTTTCTTCAAAATTGAGAGAAAAATTTCCATAGAATGAGAGCAAATGATCAGAGCTACTCTCTATGAAAATATCAATTTATGGTTTCAATGACTCGCCAATGTAATCCGGGTCTGAAAATGCCAGATTTCCTCATCTGCACTAAGTCTTTCACTTCGGGTAAAAAAAGTAGGAAACAGCCGAGTTTACTAAAGATTTCATACTGATTATTTCAATTTCCTGGTTGAGAATGTTTCACGTCACATGAACAACTTTTTTACTCCGCTTATTCAAGAAAGAATTCACTGCGATGCAAAACATAGTGCAGATGAGGAAATCTGGCATTTTCAGTCCCGGATTACATTGGTGAGTAAATGAAACAATATATTAATAGTTTCATAGAGGGTATCTCTGATTTTTTGCTCTCATTCAAGGTAAGACTTTCTCTAAATTTCGAAGGAAAAATTGTCCAAAATGGACATTGAAACCAGGTATTTTAGAAAGTAAAAACCTGAACTTGCGCTCAATTTTTTCCACTAGTGTATCTGTTGATACGGCGAGGAGAAAACTGTACATACTAGAAAACAGGATCTTAAGTAAGTTATTCTGGTGAAATTTGAGAACAAGTAGATTCAAAGTTTATCGTACTGGAATATGTTTTTGAACCAGTTTTTTTTCTTCTTTGTTTTTCATTAAACACATTCATTGCACCGAAAAATTGTAGTTATATTTAGCTCTTGAGGTGCAAAGGACCTTGTCAGACTTTTGTTGCCCTGTCAAGTGTACTAACTGTAAAAAACTTGGAACGAACTTATTATTTATCAAGCACCCCGACAGCATTTTGGCAAATGCTCGTTGAGCACATAACTATGAAGTTCTAAAACTCTTAGTTTTTGCAACCTTCTTCCTCTGATAACACAAAAAAGGATTTGATAAAAATCAATTTTGCCAATCAAAAGATGCAGAATTCGGACACAAGGTCGATAAAACATAAGCCAAAATCATATTGGCCAAATAAAGCTTTGAAGCCAAATAAATTATGCAACGTCAAATTTACTTAAATTACAAAAAACAAAGAAGAATCAAAAAACGATTTCAATTACAATAAAAATGGCTTATTGTACAAGAAAAGTCGGCGAGGTGACAACTAAGCTGACAAAATGTACGCAGACAAATGATTGGCGGATTAGTTTTTTGAAAGTAAATTTTTTGAAATAAAAAACAGGTCCTTGCCACATTTGAACTTATGCCCACATCCATCCCAAGCGTAGCCATTAACTCTAGACTAATTGTTCGGAGAAGCCACGAAATTTAAAATTATTATCTACCAAGCTATCAAATTAATAAAGTGAATTTGTTAAAATAGTTGTTGACCCAAAGAAGTTATTCCGATTTGATGGCAAGCGAAAAAACGATTTAACTCGAACTGGCTAGTTTATCAAAAAAAAGTGACCTAAAGTGTCAAACAAAAAAATGACATCGTATGCCTTTTTGTTTTTGGAAAGCAATTATTCGATTTGCCGCACCCAAAAATCAAAAGTCGAACCGTTTAATTATAAAATCCCTAAAAAACCTCACCAAAAAGTGAAAGGTTAATTCATTTATCACCGCATGCAAATAAGAAATTATACCACCACCATGAATCAGACTAAAAAACTTGGCAGTTGGGAACAGGCAATTTGATAACATTCATTCACTTCAAACTTTTTGCAAAAGAACTATGGCGTAGAGTCCGTTTTGTCTACTTTGTAGCGGTCTAGAGTTGTGTCATACTGGTCTGCAATTTTAATTTTTTCAGAAAAAATTAGACAAAAGTTAATGAGAGGCTGACTTCCAGTAGCGGACTTTAGGGCGGTGGCCTTTCTCCTCTTCAGGAGTTTGACCCCCTGACCACCCAAAGGGTCACCTATTGGTACTGTTTTAAGACATACATTTTTGGCTGACCGAGCCTAAAATTTGTCTTAAAAGGCTAAAAGGCTTTTGACGTGAGTTTTTGGTTAAGAGTTTCCTAAAAAGGTCTTTTTGGGCCAGTTTTTTGCAGACATTTCAATTATAACTTAATCGCCTTTTCTAAAAAAAATATAACAAGAAATTTGAACAAAGCAAAAAAAAATAATTTTTCAATTTTTTGAAAAAATCTTTATTTTAGCTTCTTTTCTTAAAATCAGTTTTGTCGGAACATTCTGTGCTACTTGCACAGCAACTAGCTTTCCTTGTTTTGCTTAAAAAGTTCCCTGTTTGCAAAATGGTTCGCTCAAACAACAAAAACCAATAGACAAATATAAGCTAAATTGATATCGATTACGATTTTAAAAACTGGCAGTACCAATTCACAAAACTCAAGGAAACATTCAGAACATCACGTGCACAATTTTCTACAGTCATGTTTAAAAACTGGATGAGACATCTACAAGCTCAATTTTCTCTCCTCTCCTCTTACCTATGTATACATCATCGGAAGCATCTGTTCGGTAAGTTGGTGTCCTATGAATAGGAGTGGAGACTTCAGTGTCAGATGACCGAATAGTAGCGGCATCCGAATATATGACAGGA